TGCAGACCGACGCTCTACCACTGAGCCAAACCGGTTTTGGCCATTTGGTCCTTTTAAAAAGTGGTTTTTGTTCTCTCCTTTTGTTTCCCTACAGATCCTGTCATAGTTGACTGACGGGGAAATAGACTCATGGATTTGACACCACACAATAAACTAACACTTGGATAATTCAACCTTTCAGAGTCCTAATTCTTGTCCAGAAAAATTGCAGCCACAAAGCAGAAGATTTCTTGGAGGGAAATGCTAACCCACAAACAGGTAAGAAGAAATAATTTTTTCTAAAGTTTAAAAAAATGTATTTTTATTGATTTTAGAAAGAGAGGAAAAGAGAGGGAGAAAGAAAGAGAAACATTGATGTGAGAGACAAACTACAATTGGTTGCCTTCTGTATGTGCCCGACCCGGGACCAAACCCCCACCCAGGTGTATGCCCTGACTGGGAACCAAACCAGCAACCTTTCAGTGCACAGGATAAGACTCAAGCAACTGCGCCACTCCAGCTGCGCAAGAAGAAATAATTTTTAAAAATATTTTATTGATTTTTTACAGAGGGGAAGAGAGAGGGACAGAGAGTCAGAAACATCAATGAGAGAGAAACATCGATCAGCTGCCTCCTGCACACCTCTTACTGGGGATATACCTGCAACCAAGTTACATGCCCTTGTCCGAAATCGAACCTGGGACTTTTCAGTCCGCAGGCTGACGCTCTATCCACTGAGCCAAGCCGGTTTCAGCAAGAAGAAATAATTTTTAAAGAATAAGTGAAGTTGTCCTACCTGGTTTGGCTCAAATGGATTGAGCGTCGGCCTGCAGACTGAAGAGTCCTGGGTTTGATTCTGGTCAAGGGCATATGCCTGGATTGGGGCTTGATCCCCAGGAGGGGGCATGCAGGAGGAGCCGATCAGTGATTGTCATCATTGATGTTTCTATTTTTCTCTCCCTCTCCCTTTCTCTCTGAAATCAATAAGCTTATTGTGTTGGTATTTTTGCTAATGTGTCTCATGTTGTTGTTATTTTAATTGTTTATATGATGCAGCCCTTTTTCTTTCCCCTGGCTCTGATCTATAACGCTCAATTTAGCAGACCATACTTGTGCCAACTAAAATAAACACTCTCTCAAAAAAATAAAAAATAAAAATTCTTGACTGTAGCTGGTTTGGATCAGTGGATAGAGCGTCAATCTGCAGACTAAATGGTCCCAGGTTTGATTCTGGTCAAGGGGCATATGCCAGGGGTTGCAGGCTCGATCCCCAGTGGGGGATGTGCAAGAGGCAGCCAATCAATGATTCTCTCTCAACCATTGATGTTTCTATCTGTCTCTCTCCCTCTCTCTGAAATCAATAAAAATAAAAATAGCTGAATCCGGTTTGGCTCAGTGGATAGAGCGTCGGCCTATGGACTGAAGGGTCCCAGGTTCAATTCCGGTCAAGGGCATCTACCTTGGTTACGGGCACATCCCTGGTGGGATGTGTGCAGGAGGCAGCTAGTCGATGTATATCTCTCATCAATGTTTCTAGCTCTCTGTCTCTCTCCCTTCCTCTCTGTAAAAAATCAATAAATAATTTATATATATATAATTGATTTATCAATATATCGGTCCTCTCTTAAATGGTTTCTGCTTTTGGTCCAAAAAAGAAATAACAGATGGGTGCCTAGGAAGAGATGTATTCTAAGGAATTTAGCATCTGGCTTCAATCTAAGAAAGCTTTGCCTAACAGGGGTCTAGAAAATGTTCTTCTGTTTTCTTCTAAAATGTTTATTGTTTAGCTGTTACATTTGGGTCTCTGATCCATTTTGAGTTGATTTTGTCGTAGTTCATCTTTTTGTATGTGGATAATAAATTATCCCAGCACTTTGTCAAATAGACGGTCCTTTCCACCAGTGAATTGGCTGAGCAACTTTGTCAAAATTCAGTTAAATATAGCTTTGGCTGGGTTTCTAAATTGGTTGGAGCATTATCCCCGTAAAAGAAAGGTTCAATTCTGGTCAGGGCACATCCCTAGATTGAAGGTTCAATACCTGGCCAGGAGGTAGATAACTGATCGATGGTTCTCTCTCTCTCTCCCCCTCCCTTCCTCTTTCTAAAAATCAATAACATACATCCTCAGGTGAGGATTAAAAAATAATTAAGTATGGCCGAAACCGGTTTGGCTCAGTGGTAGAGCGTCAACCTTCGAACTGAAAGGTCCCAGGTTCGATTACAGTCAAGGGTATATACGTTGGTTGCGGGCACATCCCCGGTAGAGGGTGTGCAAGAGGCAGCTGGTCGATGTTTCTCTCTCATCGATGTTTCTAGCTCTCTATCTCTCTTCCTTCCTCTCTGTAAAAAAATCAATAAAATATATATATTTAAAAATAATAATAATTAAGTATAAATATAAGGTTTTATTTCTGGCTTTCAATTCTGTTCCTACTGTATGTTAATATACATATCTATCCTTATGCCTGGACTACTGCTCTAGGATATCTTGATATGGAAAATTATTACTCCATTCCACAACCTAATGATTCCTAAGAATGAGGATGACAGCTACATAAGTGGAGTATTTTTATAAATATGCTGCTATGAGAGAATATTTAATTGAGAGAAATATGAACAAACAGCATAATAGGCCTTTGATAAGATATGTTGGACTGAGGTGATTCTAATCTTAAATTTCACTAGTTCTAATACATCTATAAGCAAATCATCTTTGTAAACAGTGCCACTAGTTCTGTAGAGAATCTGATCTATTGATTGGGCTGTTTAACCAATAGGGTTGTAGCCAGTGGGTTGTTTCATTTTTCATGCTGATATAGTTTTTTTTTTTTTCCCATAGCTTCAAAGAGTTAATCTTTCTCCTCTTTACCAGGACCAGAATGAAAAAATACATCTGTAACCATGACCACGGCAGAAATATACTGACTATAGCCAAAACAGGTTTGGCTCCATGGATAGAGCATAGGTCTGCAGACTGAAAGGTACCAGGTTCGATTCTGGTCAAGGGCATGTACATTGGTTGCGGGCACATCCCCGATAGGGGGTGAGCAGGAGGCAGCTGGTCGATGTTTCTCTCTCATCGGATGTTTCTAGCTCCCTGTCCCTCTCTCTTCCTCTCTGTAAAAAAAAAAAATTAAAAAAAAAATATATATAGTTGATTTATCAATATATCAATATACTGACCATAGCATAACAGTTTGTAGTCATTAGGTCTGTTGACAAACATTCAGATTCCCCTCTCCTTCCAGGCATGTGTAGGATTGTAATTCCCTGGCCTCCTCGAAGTTAGACATGATATACGTTGAACTGGCCAATAAAATAAGTGATGGGTGGAAGTTTTAACAGCCGGTATGGAATTCACCAAGTTCCCTATTCCTGTCTCATAAAAGTGTATGACCAGATGGAGCCTCCATCAGCCTGCCTCGCTGAGTGCCCAGCAGTATCCCCCTGACAACCCACATTAATCACTGTAGCTTGAGCAAGATATACCAGTAAATGTTAGTTGTGATAAGCCACTGAGATCTCAGGGATGGTACTGGAACATAACCCAGCTTATCACAACTGCTACAAACTACACTTAATGTGAGATCAATGCCCACATATCTGTCAAATCATTGGTTTGGAACCTGTTCTAGGATTGGGAACCAGTCCTAGCTCTGCCAGGGCAGCTCAGGCCCAGCTCCTCTGGTCAGGCGTGGGTGCAGTATCCCTTTAAGATGCACACATTCACCCACTTCACAAGGGACAGAGCTTGTTCCCAACAGCCAGATTGCCTGGAGTGCAAGCCCAGCTCTCATGCAGGGGATGGCTTTGACCATGTCCCTTAATTCATGGGCCTGTTTTCACATATGTAAATGCAAACCATAGCATCTACACCTTATGGGAATAAACATAAAGCATTTAGGAAAATGCCTGGCAGGGAGTGACTTGGGGGTATTAGCTGTATAGAGGTATGGCTCTTGCTGGCCCCTTTCACTTCTTCCCAGCCAGCATCCAGAACATGCTGGTCACTCCCATTCCCTCTCTTCTACTGAAGAGCTGAGCTCAGGACAGAACAGTCAACCCTGGGAGGCTTTGGTCCAATTCAAATGACAAAGTGCTGGGCCTGACTCTACAGTGAAAAATGAAATTGAACTTCTAATCAATGTCTTTAATTAGAAGAATAGGTAAGTGTCTGACAAATTCCTAGCAAGAGCTGGGAACTGACCAAGTGTCAGTCAATGGCAACAGGGATGCAGAAGTCACATCCCTATTCACACCCAAATCATTTGCAAAAGACATGCAGGTAACTAGTTTATTCAAACATGAGATGACCAGGTATTAGAAGGTAAAAGGAGCTCAGCTGAGCAGCAAGAGCAGGGCCAGGCCAAGCAGGAAGGTTAGGCCCCATGGAGCTCAGCTCCATTCATGGCCTCTGCATAGAACCTGGCCACCTCCTCGTTGGGGTTGCCCTGTGCCGGGTCAAACCACATCTGGATGCAGCGGCCACTGCCTCGGCTGTAGTTGCTGACTTTGAAGGAGTGATTCCAGATTTCGTTGCACAGAGCAGCAGGCGTGGGGAAGTAGAAATCAAAGCGGTGGCAGGTATTCTTCACCGGGCATTCATTAATCCCTGTGGGAGGATGGAAGCCCTTCAGCCATTGGACCTTAAACTAAGTCTGGTTCTGCCAACTCCTCAACTCTGTCCCTTAATATACCCATCTCACACCCCAGCCTCCCCTCCTAATCCCTCTCTCCCCACCCACCAGGCTCTCACCTGAGGTCCAGTCCCAGCCCTTCTGCCAGTTACTCTTGCAGGTGGAGGAGGTGCGGCAGTCTTCCCACCAGCTCTCACAGTCCTCTTTGCACAGGGGCACATTCAGGACCCGCTCTTTGCGCCAGCTCTGGTTCACCTGGGAGATGTCGGTAGGGGAAAGGGACTCAGGCCCAGGATTCTCAGTAGCCTAGCCCTAGAGAGCCCCAGAGCTGCAGAGGCAGGACCAGGAGATTTCTGAGAAGCCGGCATGGGGAGGAAGTCATACCTTCTGGATCCAGGGCCCCAGGTTGGGGGAGCACTCATACAGGCAGGTGTCCTGGATGAAGTTGCGCTTGCAGGCGGGTTTCATGGGGCCGCAGTGCTCCCAGTTGAAGTTGTACAGGAGGGAGACATCCCTATGGGCTTCCAGGCTGGTGTTGACCGAGCAGCAGGCCTTCTTCTTCCAGGGACTGCACTGGGTGGGGAAGACAGAGGACTAAGTTCTTCCCTCAGAACAACCATCTTCTCCATTTTCTGGCCCCAGTAGATCATCCAAAGGAAGACCCAGTGGGGCGGGTGCCTCTGTATCTGGCACTTGAAGAGCCCCCATTTGGGGTAAAGGCAATTATGATATTTAATTTTAACAGAGTAACAGGGGATGTGTGCAACCTGGAGAACCACTGACTGGGGAAGCAACTATTATTTGTATAGCTCTAAACAGTTCATAAACGTCTTTCACATTTATTCAAGTTATTTATATTACTCATTTTGCATCCAACCAATATTAATTGAATGCTTATTAAATATCAGGCACTGGGCTACATACTAAGAATACTATAGTGAACAAAGCAGAGCAAATCTCTTCTCTCATGTTGTGTATGATTTTCCTTCTGAGTTGGGGGAAGCCAAAGAGCATTGTAGGCCTAGAAACAGCAGGTGCAAAGCCCCTGAGGCTTTCGTGCTTTATCCTCTCAACAATCCAGTATAAATATCATTACTCCAAATTTTAGGGAGTTTAAGTAAGCTGAACCCTTGGCAAATGGTGGGGTTAAGATTCAGGACAGGAGCCTGGTCCAGGTGGTGGTGAGGGGTGGAGGTGAAAGGGTTTGGTTTGGCTGTCCTGGGTCTGGAATCCCAGGCTCGGGGCTTCCAGATCAGTTCAGAAAGCAGTGGGAACAGAGGGGCAATGGTCAGCACATTGGCCTAAATATTAGCCTGACTAACTGTGGGAGGCTAACTTAGAGAATTTACTAAATTCAAGGCATGTAAAATGGTAGAAGTGTTGGAAGTTTTTCTTTCAAAATCACTCTAGCCCGGCCAGTAAGGTTTAGTGATTGACCCATGAACCAAGAAGTCACCAGTTCAATATCTGATCCAGAGCACATACCCGGGTTGTGGGCTCGATCCCCAGTGGGAGGCATGAGGAGGCAGCCAATCAATGATGTTTCCCGCCAAAACCAGTTTGGCTCAGTGGATAGAGCGTCGGCCTGCGGACTGAAGGGTCCCAGGTTTGATTCCGGTCAAGGGTATGTACCATGGTTGCGGGCACATCCCCAGTGGGGTGTGTGCAGGAGGCAGCTGATCGGTGTTTCTCTCTCATCGCTGTTTCTAACTCTCTATCTCTCTCCCTTTCTCTCAGTAAAAAAAAACCAATAAATATATATATATTTTTAAAAGTGAAGTTCAACCCCAACTCTTTTTAAAAAATATATATTTTATTGATTTTTTTGCCCCCCTCCCTCCCATACATACTCTCCCTCCCCAGAGTTTTATGTCCATTGGTTGTACTTATATGCAAGTATACAAGTCCTTCAGTTGATCTATTATCTCCCCCAGATCTCCCTCCTCTCCCTGCTGTAATTTGACAGTCCCTTGTTGCTTTACTGTCTCTATATCTATCTTTTGTCAACCGCAACTCTTTAAAAAAAAAAAAAAAAAAGATGCTTCTCTCTCACTGATGTTTCTATCTCTCCCTCTCCCTTCCTCTCTGTCTAAAAGTCAATAGAGAAGCATATATATATATATATATATATATATATATATATATATATATAAAGTCACTCTAGATTGAGGTTCAAGAGCTGAATGATTATGGACTAATTGCTTTTAACTCTCTGAGATGAACTCTAGTACCCACAGTCAAGCAAGAGGGGATATGCTATTGGTCTGGAGACTCAAGAAGAATTAAGGGAAAATCCATGGGGGTGGGGCCAAACCTACTGCTTCTCAACAGCCTAGCCTATGCCTAGTGCACTGACACAGACCATGCTTTCAGGCCTCCCAACTTCTCCCATGTTCTTCCTCAAATGCTCCAACTCTTAGTCACCCTGGAAGACACCATGCTAAGGTCAGTGGTTTCTGCCTCCAAAAGAGTTAATTAATATAACGAAAAGCATTTTCTAGCTCATTGTAAGGGTTCAACAAAAATAGCTACTCCCTAGTCTACGGCCATACCACCCTGAACACGCTCGATCTCGTCTGATCTCGGAAAAATAGCTACTCCCATATAGCCCATGATCCTCAGAATTACAATCATTTGTCTTCTTCAAAGATCTGTGTTTGCACCATTTCTTGGCAAAAGGAAGTACCTCAGAGAGGAAGGGAGAGGGAGAAAGAGATTGAAACTTCAGTGATGAGAGAGAATCATTGATTGGTTGCTCCTTGCATGTCTCCTATGGGGATCAAGCCTGCAACTGATCAATGTGCCCTTGACCGGAATCGAACCTGAGACCCTTCAGTCCACAGGCTGACTCTCTATCCACTGAGCCAAAACGGTTCCGGTGACACCCTGTATTTCACCACGGACATGCACAAAGCAATGAAAGGTTGGAAATGACTCAGGAGTCATGGGGCTGCCGGGCTTCCTCCTCTTCACATCACGTCCCTGGAATGAGTCCATGCCCCAGTCTTTCCTGGAGAACACCCCCAGCCCTCTAGCAACGTGAAGCCTTGTGAAGAGCAGAATTGGAGACCAGAAGGAATGAAATACTGGCATCTCTCATGAGCCTGGAGTTCAACTTCAAGCTCAGATTTCCTGAACTGCTTCCATGGGCCTTATCTATGAAATGGGGACCCTGGTCTCACTTCTCCTTTTCTGTGGTCTCTGGCCCCCAAGATTTCCACATGCTGTCACCCTCTGACCTGTGTACATGCTGTCCTCTTCTAGGTGGCCCTTTTCTGCTTTGTCTTCCTGGAAAACTCAATCAGCCTCCAAGGCCAAGCACATCTGATTTGTCACTGTCTCTTCAGAACCTAATGGGGTGGGGGACCTGGCCTGTTTGTAAATTTGTGCTTCCTAGTGACTGCGAGAGACTGGTTTCCCCTTCCATTTTACCTCTGAGCACTGCCCTGGCACATAATGAAGGCTGGGGAACTTACTGTCTGTCTCTCTCCTAGCTCCTGTTAATGAGTAGCCTCTCAATTTCCACAGGTATCTGTGGGCCTATTTCTTCATTTGTTTAAGTGAAGACCATCACCCACCAACCAAGTAGGACATTTGGGCATATTTGCTGATAAGATGTGAGGAAAGTTGCCGAAACCGGTTTGGTTCAGTGGATACAGCGTTGGCCTGTGGACTGAAAGGTCCCAGGTTTGATTCCCGTCAAGGGCATGTACATTGGTTGCAGGCACATCCCCCATGGGGGGTGTGCAAGAGGCAGCTGATTGATGATTCTCTCTCATCGATGTTTCTAGCTCTCTATCCCTCTCTCTTCCTCTCTGTAAAAAATCAATAAAATATATTAAAAAAAAAAAAAAAAAAGATGTGAGGAAAACACTTGGCCCATAGTAGGTTCCCCACCACCTCTTTACCTCCTCTCCTTGGGGAGACCCTCAGTGTCACCTTAGCCATACTCCTGCCTCTATCACCTCCCTCAAAGTTGATCTTCCTATCACCCTACTTCTTCTCTTTCTGGGGTCAACCCTTTCCCGATGCTAGACCCCAGCCCACCCTCACCTGGTCATGAAGCTTGTCCTCGGGGCTTGGCTCTTTCTTGTGGTGCTTGCCGTACATGCAGACATTGAGCAGATTCTTCTTGCCCTTTTGAGACTTGGGCCGAGCACCCCACACAGCAGTCACCGAAGCCAGAAGCAGCAACTGTATGATCTTCCAGGCCATGTCCATCTGTTCCTGCCAGAAAGCCACGGTCAGAGATTCACAAGGCCTGAGAGGCAGCAACTGTAAGAACCTTGGTCATATTTCTTGTTCCCCTCCCAAGCCCAGATCTTCTCCCCACCCAGCTTACCCCACAGAGAAGCTGAGCCAAGCAATGAGGGGCAGATAGAGGTCTAGGCCAGAGGCAGGAATTCCTCTCCCCACCCCAACCCTCAAATGAAGGCACTTCAACCTTAGCTTGCCCTGGATTTGACCAGTCAGTATTTCATCCACAATGGGAAATCTCTGCCAGCTTGGCAAGTCCTCTCAAAACTGCTCAAGAGAAACCACAGGGCATGGCCTGCCCAGGGGGTGCGGGAGTGAAAGAAAGGCGCACCTGCCAGCCTTGGCCGCCTGGAGGCTTTTAGGTGCCAGTGGGGCGGACAGGAAAACTGTCCTGGGGCCAGATGAAGGCCACTGAGCTGTTCAGTTAGGACTCATAGTCCTGGACCAGGTGCCATGGGAGTTGGAAGTAGGATTGGGGGGGAGGGGGCCAACGTGGCAAGCCAGTGAGAGTGCAGGCCCCCTCATCGAGACTCCAGGTCCTCACATACCAACAACCCCTTCTCCCACACAAAGGGATTATGGGAAGTTCCCTCAGCAGAGTCAGGCCTCGAGCTAGAAGGCCAACAGATAAGGGGCTTGTTGAGGAGAGTGCTGAGCAGAGCAGTGGGCCATGGGGAACCAGAGGAAAGGCAGCAGAGAAACCAGCCTCCTAGGAGTCCTGTGGGAAACCCAACCTTGACCCCTACCTCCCATTCCCACTTCCCCCTCTCATCTGCCCTTACCTCTGCTCTCAGTCCACCTGGGAACGTAGAGTGGCTCCTCACCTCCCCATCTCCTTTTATAAGCCCTTTCTGACTGCCTGGTCAGCCTCTCAGTCAGGGAAGGCAGGCAGACTTTGGCTAGGAAATACCTCAAGTGACTCGCTAAGGGAAGGGCCAGTTAAATAAATTATGGTACATCAACCCAATGAGATTTAACTTGGCATTTGACATTTAAATGAATGAGAAAGCTTTTGTTGTATGTTGTCATTAGCAGATGTTGTAGTTCGTTGTTAATGATTATGTATTATAACAGGATATTGTAAAAATTAAGTTACAAAATTTTTATGAAAATATTCCTAACATACAGTTACATTGGCTGGGTTGCAAAAATATTGGTTGTGGCCCGAATGTGGGCAGTGAGTTTGACATGCCTGGTCTACAGGGCAGGGCAAATGGTATTCACCAGCTACTACGGATTCAGATTTGGCACCAGTGCTGAGCTTGAACCACACAGCAAAAGTCACAGTATACACCTGCTGTGTATACAGCAACCACCACCTGCTGGGGGCCTGGAGACTTTTGCAGTGGGGTCAGGACTCAGGAAGTCATCAGGGTTGAATGAGCAGAGTCCACACCAAGCTGCTGTCGATTCAGATTTGGCCAACATAGGAAAGATGGTGCCTGCCCACTGGCCTTGTGGAAGGAAGTCTTCAACAAGGGGAAAATGGTAGCCAGCCCTCCAGCCCTCACCCTGAATCCACACAACTCAGTTTCTCCCTGGGTATCTCTGGCACCCCCTGACCTTGATCAGAATTTCTTGAGTTTTTTAAGAAAGATAGCTGAGCTGGCTTAGTCTGGCTGCTTGTTGCCAAAATAGTCTCTGGCAGTGAGGGAGTTGGGGCAGGGTCTCAGGGAGTCCTTAGGGTGAAATGCGTGGAGTTCAGATTCCGAACAGGCCGTGTGGGAGGATGGCTAAACACAGGGAGAATGGCGACCATCCCTTCAGCCCACACCCTGAAACTGCACAATTCGGTTTCTCCCTTTCCCCCTGAGCTTGACCAGAATTCCTCAAGAATATTTTTTGTTTTGTTTTGTTTTAAACATATTGATTTCAGAGAAAGAAAGAGAGAAGGAGAGAGAGAGAAACATCAATGATGAGATATAATCATTGATTGGACGCCTCCTGCACACCCCTTACTGGAGATTGAGCCCACAACCCGGGCATATGCCCTTGACCAAAATCAAATCTTGGACCCTTCAGTCTGCAGGCCGATGCTCAAGCCACTGAGCCAAACCCGCTAGGGCTCCTCAAGTGTTATTGTGTTTAAAACAAAACAAAACATTTTTCATTGATTTCAGAGAGGAAGGGAGAGGGAGAGACTGAAACATCATCATTGACTGGCTGCCTCCTGCATGCCCCTCACTGAGGATCGAGACCGACACCGGGCACGTGCCCTTGACCAGAATCAAACCTGGGACCCTTCAGTCCGCAGGCCGACACTCCATCCATTGAGCCAAACCAGCCAGGGCTCAAGAGTTTTTTAAGAAAAACTGAAGCTCAGCACTCTCCCTCTTGGGAGCACACGGCACCTTTCCTTTCTTTTCCCCTCTTTCTCCATCTCCTTCTTCCCCCCAAGAACATTACCTTTGCTGTTCTCTCTCCTGAGCTCCAAGGACCCTTCTTTTGCTTCTGTAACTTGTTTTCTGAGCTTACACAGCCAACTGGCTCACTTTTAAACTACCTCTGTAACTTTCTAAATAAATTTTCTATTATTATTTGGATTAAAAAACTGTTGTTCATGCCAAGACTGGCTGCTTGCCACCAAAAGAGCCTCGGGCAGTGCAGGACTTGGGTGGGAGGGAGTCTCAGGAAGTCCTCAGAGTAGAACAAGTGGAGTTCACCAGGCTAATGCAGATTCAGATTTGAGAGTGTGGGAGGAAACCTCAACATGGGAACAATAGCGGCCATCTCTGCAGCTGTCGCCCTGAATCATACAACTCACTTTCTCTCTGTATGTCTCTGCTGCCCACCTCCCCCAGAACTGCTGTCCCTCTGCCAGAGCCCAGGGTGAGTTCCTACAAGAGAGTGTCTGTGTGTGAATCTTTAAGAGGACACCTGTGGGTCTAACCGGTTTGGCTCAGTGGATAGAGCATCGGTCTGTGGACTCAAGGGTCCTAGATTTGATTCCAGTCAAGGGCATGTACCTTGATTGTGGGTGCATCCCACTAGGGAGTGTACAGGAGGCAGCTTATCAGTGTTTCTCTCTCATTGATGTTTCTCTCTCTTCCTCTCTGTAAAAAAATCAATAAAATATTTTTTTTTTTAAAAAGGACACCTGCATCCTAGCTGTGCAGTAGGCAACCAATCAATGATTCTTCTTCATCATTGTTTCTATCTCTCTCCATCTCCCTTCATCTCTGAAATCAATAAAAAAAAATATATATATATATTTTTAAAAAGAGGACACCTGTGTTCCCAGCAGTCTTCTGGTCTCACCCAGAAAATGGAATCTCTGCTGATTTTCACAGCCAGGTGTTTTATGGGCTCTTATCCTGGTACTGTGCTAGGATGGGAAGTACAATTTCGGGGCTGGGACCCCTCACTCCTCAGGGGATACTTCTGCAGCTGAGACATCCTTCCCAACCACCACACTGTGAGGCCAGCCCGTTTCACATCTCTGTCCCTCTTACCAGTCTCAGCATGGCCTCTTCTTTATATCCTTAGTTATAGGACTTCTTTCAGCTAGTCTGCAGATGGTTCTCCGGGTTGATTGTTCTATAATGTAGCTGTAATTTTGATGTGCTCATGGAAGAAGGCAAGCACAACCTGTACCTGCTCCATTATCTTGACCAGAACCGAAACAAACTCTTTAACTGGCAGAATAATGCAACACACATAGGCCACTACCTGAAAGCTTATGTGGCTTAAAAGTATGTGCTCCCTCTTTATATGCTGTTTTGATTTTTGAATCATATAAATGCATGCCTTATTTAAATGTAATACACATGTATGCATATATGTATATAGATATCCAGAATGCTTAATAGAAAAATAATATAGAATGATACATCTGATTAGTTACCATTTATGTAAATTTCAATAATAAGTGTATGCACAAAACAATACTACATATCATTTATGGATGCTATTCACATGTTTTCAAAAGCATAAACATAAGGCCATCAATAGTTCTAGTTCCTTGCTGGAACCGGTTTGGCTCAATGGATAGAGCGTCGGCTTGGGGACTGAAGGGACCCAAGTTCGATTCCGGTCAAGGGCATGTACCTTGGTTGCGGGCATATCCCCAGTAGGAGATGTGCAGGAAGCAGCTGATCGATGACTCTCTCTTATCAATGCTTCTTACTCTGTCTCTCTCCCTTCCTCTCTGTACAAAATCAATAAAATATATTTTAAAAACAATAGTTCTAGTTCCTTGGGTAACTGCCAGGGAAATTCTGTGCATTTACAAAAGTATTCTATGCATTTATACTTACCTACTTTTGTGCACAAATGATAGCATAATGTTCTACACTTTGCTTTTTTTTTTTTTTTTGGTAGTTTCACTGTACATTTATGCTTTTGACAAAAGAAACAAAAAAACCCTCATAAAACCAAGTTATCCACCATACACACTAGAATAATATTGTCACATCTGACAGCATAATTTTCCAAGTTATTTCTTTGTACTGTCTGAAATTAATTTAAATGTTTTCTATGGCAAAGAACCCTTTCATTAACCATTATAAAAATAAGTTAAGAAAAAAGTTTACTTTTTCATATTAAAAGTGCTTCATCTTTTGTCCTTATTTCTCAAATGCTATTGCACACAGTAAAATTGCTGCTAAGCTAGGAAGATGTCCCGACCAGTGGGAGATCAACGTGGGGGCGAGGAGGCACCTAGAAGGGAATGATAGAGGACAGGAGACGCGAAGAAATGGAGGCAAGACAGGGTTCTGATCAAGCTTCGAATTTTATTGTTGAAGCTGCAATATATATATATATATATACACACACACACAGGCTGTAGGGGGAGGTTGTCCCGGGGACATTCCAAGGCGGGGCAAACTATGGGAGGGAGGGTCAGGGAGGGGACGTTGTAGGGATCTTCCAGAGCAGGATGTGTCCTTAAGCAATAGGTTATCTTTAGCTTCTGGCCAAACCCGCAGGGCACCGCATAACTTCTGCTAGAAGGAACTTAATTC